TAAATGTGTAGTGTCTTTAGAATTCCACAGGGTGTCGTAATGTAGTTGTTGAATCCATCATAGAAATGAAAGAAATATGATGTATGCTCTTTGGAAGACTAGTTAGCATTGATCTGAGAACAGAGAATGCATAATGTTATAAAACAGCAAACTGTTAATTTATTTACTGATTGCCTTTTTTCTATAGTTCCGTATAATGCTGTTGTGTGCAAAGAAACAAGAACTTACAGACTCCTTCCTAAGAAGCATCTGTCCTTTATACTGGCAGATACATAGATCCATTTAGTTTTTCTATTTGCCCAGAGGAAGGTGGAGGTAGAATATTAAAGAGACTCTTCAACTTATTTTTAATTGATATTTTTCTGCATTTATTTTATGATTCATATGCTTGTCAATTTTTAAAAATACACAAATCTATACAAATAAAGATACAGAGCTGGATATTCAAATAATAATGATTACAGGCTCACGGATCAGCTATATTTCATGTATCAATATTGAGCAACATTTTGGTGATGGTTTATTTTCTCTTATACACCTTATGGAGCATCATTTGGTAGGGCAATGGACTTGAGAGTTTATATTGTCAAATGTTCTCATTCAAATTCTTATCTTCTATTAGAGATTTCATTCTATAATGATGACCAAAACTACAATGAAATTAAAAAATAAACTACCCAGATTTACGTAAATTGAACAGTAGCAATACCTCTATAATTTCCTGAACCACTGCAATTATTTTGAATAGGATATCATTACAGATAGTCCTTGACTTATGACCACAATTGACCCCTAAATTTCTGTTGCTAAGTGAGTCATTTGTTAAGTGAGTTTTCCCATTTTATGACTTTTCTTGCCACAATTGTTAAGTGAATCATTGCAGATGTTAAGTTAGTAACATGGTTGTTAAGTGAATCTATGGCTTCCCCAAAGACCTGTGATGGTGAACCTATGGCACATGTGCCAGAAGTGGCATGCAGAGCCATCTCTCCGGGCACGCCAGCCATTGCCCATTGCCATTTTGGGTTCCGCGTGGGAGCACCAGAAACCGGAAGAGCAGCTCCCTGGCACGCATGCGTGTGCTGGGAAGCTGAACTTCTGGTTTCTGGCATCCGCATGCACGTGGTCTTTGCATGTGCATGCATGACAGGAACCAGAAGACCAGGTGACTGGTGCGCATGCACAAGCCGGAAAAGGGAAGCTCAGCTTCCCAGCGTGCACATGTGCGCCGGGGAACTGCTCTTCCAGTTTCTGGTGCTCCTACATGTGTGTGCCAGGGAGCTGCTCTTCTGGTTTCTAGTGCTCCCCTGTGTGTGCGTGCATGCTCCCGTTTCAGCACTTGGTGCCAGAAAGGTTCACCGACACTGCCATATACTTTGCTTCTGAGGTCACAAAAAGTGATCACAGAACTCTGGGACACTGCAACCATCATAAATATGAGTCTGTTGCCAAGCATCTGAATTTTGATCACATGACCGTGGAAATGCTGCCACGATCGTGTGAAAAATGGTCATAAGTCACTTTTTTCAGTGCCGTTGTAACTTTAAACAGTCACTAAATGAACTGTTGTAATTCGAGGACTATCTGTAATTATCATTAATTTTCTTTACATCGATCAAGATTTTTTTGGGCAATATTAGTTTTACTTAAGTGCTCCATTTTCTCAATGTTTCTGTTATTTTTTTCTTCTTTTTTGTCCCATTTCCTCTAATACATAGATAAAAAGCAGAAATTTGCTTAACTTTAAATTTAAAAAATCATTATGTACTGTTGAAAATAAAATGTAAGAATGCACTACTTAAATTGTTTAGTTCTTTTTTTATTGTACTAGAGCATCATAGACTAAAATTTTTCTTGTATCCCAACCTTTTTTCTTTTGAACTGTACAGCAAATAGATGCAACTTCCACCTCCACCCCGCCCCCAAACCATTTTAACATGATACAATTCTGTCTCTTGGGGGTTTCCAAAATAATTTCTATCATATTTGTAATTTATGTCAAGCATTGCAATCTAGAAAGTATATGACATTTGGGATGGGATGGGTATTTTATTGCAAATGAGGAACACTTCTGCCAAATATATTTCTTCAAATGAAATAAATATATTTCTTTCCCATTATATCTCAGTTTGGGTATAAAAGCTTATAAAGAAACTGCAAAGCAAAGTAAGCCAATGACAGTCTAACTATGCAACCATCCCAATGCAATAAAGTTTTAAAATACTGTATATCTCATTCACAAGTTAGAATATAATAACCTCACCATTGATCTACACTGTATCACATCTCTGGAGGGCTCCAAATTGAGGGAGATAATTTTATGGTATTTAATAGCTATATGGGACTACCCTAGGTGAAATTTGAAAGCACAAATAAATGTAGAGGGTCACAGTGTATGTGAATTCCAATAGTCTTCATTGGATTCCATATACTTTGATTATTATTGACTGTTGGAGTAGGTGCATCACGTATCATCATAAGGTTGTGTGGCATGCCAATAACAACTGACTATGATCAACGGTACAGAAATGTGGATTTGCATTTTTTTTTTTAATTTTAGGTGAATCATTCTATTCAGTTAAGATTTATTGAAATGTTGACTGGCAATAACTGCACTTAAACAGTGGCTAAATAAGTGGCATGACGGAAGAAAACTTTCCAGGTAATCTAGCAAAGCCAGATCACCTTTCAAAAGATCTGTAAAACAGGGACTTCCGGTTGATGTTGCTGCGGGGTCGGACATGAGGAGCGGATCTCCGAGCTCCCGTGCTGAATTCTCCCTGTTGGTGGGCTCTGAGAGGAGCCAAAACTTCCCTGTAGGGGAGGCAAAGCAAAGAGGGGTGCCCTGTGAGATCACAGAGAGTTGCAACTCTCATGCCTGACCCAGGATTTTTCTTTCCCTCTCAGCCACGATGTGGAGAAGAGGCAGCCTAAACATGGCTGCCACAAAGCTGGGGCAGCTGAGGAACACCTAAGACTGGTGCTGGAGTGGAGTTAGTGAACAGTGATTGAATCTGGTTGAGAAGATTCCTTTTTTTTTTTTGCATTAGTCCCTAAACTTAAAGGAAAAAAGAAGAAAATCCAGAGAAGAAAAGAGACTCTTAGAATTACCTTTTTTAAAGTGGCGAACAACCATAGAGAGAAATAAAAGGAACTGATGAAATGGAATGAAAGGAACTGAGGGGAGAAAAGCTAAAGATTTTTTAATCAAAGAAAATTAGTTTTTAAATTGGGTAGACATTGTTATGGAAAGGCATTATAATATGCTGGAACTATGTACCTGAATTGATTTGGGTATTTAATTCTGTCGCTATAAACTGAATTAAATTTAGATTTTAATTTACCACATTCGAAACAATGTTGAAACCTCTGTTGATGCTGCCATCTACTGGTGAATAGAATATACTAAACTCCTGCAAATCCAGGAAAACTTTGACAGAAGAAATAAGCAACATCTTTTTGAAGGATTGAGGTGATACTAACTTTGTTATAATTAATTACTTTACTATTGTGATAAGGAAGACTTTTAAGTAAAGTAAAGTGACTTTTGTTGTGCGGAAATTGTCTGGACTATTTAAATGTAATTGATTACTAACCCTGAGATGTAAAGAGCTATGATTATTGAACTTTGATGAGCAAAACTGGAACTGAATATATTGTTTGTGGCCCTGACTATAAGTGGACTTATTAAACTAAGACAAGCCTTTTCATGGGGAAATGAATGAGTTTTCAAGAGAAATGGCATGGATATTTCAAAGCATTAGGCATACCATGACAAAGAACCAAAGAGAGATAAAAGACTTAATTCAAGGCATGAATGACAAAGTAGAAAATATGATACAACTGGCAGTGAATGAAGATCAAAGTGTCCAGGAAAGAGAGGAGAGGACGGAAAGAATGGAGGAAAAGATAGAACAGACAAATCACCAAATAAAATAAGCAGATGAGAAAAACTTTTTGAGAGATATAAAAATGGAATTGGAATTGGATACTCTGGAAGATGTTTTTGAAAGGGAAATAGGACTATGGGTGGATACTCTGGAGATTTGGCAGTTTAGGAGGATAGAGATGGGAGAAAGACGGAATAATGAAGATACAGATGTTGACAGAGACAAAGATCCAAGAAAGGAGTATGGGAGGAAAGCCGAAAAACAAATAAGAATTGAAGTATTAAAACGGACCAGGGATATTGGATAGAATAGAGCTATTTTTTCCTCTTTTTTCTTTCTTCTTTTTTCTAATATAATGATGGCCTGATTAAAAACTAGAAATAGAGGTAGAAATAAGAATATATACCTTTACATGAAGGACTATGTATTAACATAAATATATGTTTTAACATTAGGATTAGTAAGAGTGATCTGACTAGAAGCCAGAATAGAAGTAGAAATAAGAATTAGGGGGAATATTAGTAGTGATAATTTCTATATAAATTGAAAATAAGTAATAATTAGATGGAAAGATGAGAGGTTGAAAGATGATATTACTATGTATGTTCAAGAAGATCATTGACATTAGAATGGAACATTGAAATATTGAATAACTACTTTAAAATAATGAAGTACATTAATATTAGGATTATATAAATTTGATTAATGTAACAATAGACTGTTGTTATTTGTATTAACATGAATTATACCCAGAGGCCACACTGTTCATGTATTGATGTCAATATAAGTTTAAAAATAAAAACCCAATAAACCTTGGGGGGAAAAATAAAGATCTGTAATACTCTTATTTTAGGTCCAGTCTTGAAAAAAAAAATGCTAAATGCTTTGTTAAATCAGGTTGAAATGGAAGTCTTTCCCCTATATTTGACTAAGAAGCATGATACATTGATTTTAAATATAAATTTTGGTCTACGTGTTCTAGTTCTGGATTTCAGAAAGAAGCACCCAACCTATGCTTTGTTTTGTTAGGATAGCATGAAATCTTAAACCTTGCCTTCTGTGATAAAGAAACATTTCATTATCTTGCCTCTCTCTCCCCACCCCACAAAGATTGAAAATCTTCAGGAGCAACTTAGAGATAAAGACAAGCAACTAACTAATTTGAAAGATCGTGTGAAATCACTACAGACAGATTCCAGTAACACAGATACAGCTCTAGCTACCCTGGAAGAAGCCCTCTCTGAGAAGGTAGGTTCTCTTGTTTCCTTCTACAATTTCTTTTTAGAATTGGCTCCGATGTTCTACCAGCTGGTCCTTTGGACACAGAAATCTCTCCTAAATGATCAATTTCATTGAACCATGTACAAAAACTATAAAGATCTTCAGGATTCATAGATCCTGTTTGGGGTTAGTAGATATTTCTGTCTTAAAATACAAAGAATTCATTTCCTAAGGTGCCAAACATGTATTTGTGTCTGGACAGCTAAAAATTACAGCTTTGGCATTCTCTCCTCAGTTCTGATTGGCCCAACAGTTTCATGTTGGTAAAAAATTGAATTGCTGATGTTGTTGCAAGTCAGGGCTCTAATGCATCTTGATACAGAGGATCATCCTGATACAGAGAACGTGGTGGCTCAGTGGCTAAGATGCTGAGTTTGTAAATCGAAAGGTTGGCAGTTCAGCAGTTCGAATTCCTAGTGCTGCGTAACGGGGTGAGCTCCTGTTACTTGTCCCAGCTTCTGCCAACCTAGCAGTTCGAAAGCACATAAAAAATGCAACGTAGAAAAATAGGGACCACCTTTGGTGGGAAGGTAACAACGTTCCATGTGCCTTTGGCATTTAATCATGCAGGCCACATGACCATGGAGATGTCTTTGGACAGCGCTGGCTCTTCGTCTTTGAAACGGAGATGAGCACCACCCCCTAGATTCGGGAACAACTAGCACATATGTGCGAGGGCAGTGGTGGGATTCAGCCAGTTTGCACCACTTCGGGAGAACTGGTTGTTAACTTTCTGAGCAGTTTGGCAAACTGGTTGTTGGAAGAAATCATTAGGGCAGAGAACCGGTTGTTAAATTACCTGAATCCCACCACTGTGCGAGGGGAACCTTTACTTACAGAGCTTTTGGTCTCTGTGATTGAGTTCCTGTTTGCTTTTGTGGAAAAAAAAAGACATTAGATTAGACTTGTAAGAAGAGAGATATAAACCCAGAAATGCTTGCCAAACAAAATAAGACTAGAAAGGATACATTGTTGCAATTTCATTATATTTGTGGTTAAACATCCAAAACATGATATCTAAAAGCATTTTAACAAGTGTAGTCACCACCTATCTCAGAGATACTGCAGTTCAAGTCCTCTTTGTTTTGTGTTTGTGAATTATGATGTTGAGCGTTTAATAGAATGTGTGACTGACAACAGAACTAGATTTCAGTCAATAGAGTAGGAAAAATAATAACTAAAAGGTACAAGTGTCGCTGTGTAACCAAATTAATCTTAAGTGATAACTTTAAACCTGCCTACAGAAATTCATAGTATTTTGAGAGATATTTTTTCCATTGTGCTTAGTTTTCTATTTTTTATTTCCTATTCTAGTTTTTGTTCTTTTTAATGGCTTTGAAGGGTCACATAACATTGTATATGTAATGTTGCATACATTTTCCCCAATTAGAGAATTCTTTCCTTAATGTACAAATTTTTAATGTAATTTTTCTCATATGCCTATATTACTGTGCATTTTCCTCAACATACATACACATTTGTATAGGTTTTAAAATTGTGAGCTGCATTACAAAATGTAGAAAAATCTGGCAAGGACTATATTCTAGTTTGTGTATAACTTTGAAAAGTGCAAACTGGATCACTTTGTGCCTAAATGTGAATGAAATGCTGTCCTTTGTCTTTGCTCTTCCATATGCTGCACTGTCAAAAGATAGGATTGATTTATCCATGTTAAGATTACAAATGAGGTAGAGAAAGTAGTTGCAATGTTGGAGAAGGGATGAAATAGAGATCTGTTTAAGTAGACAGGTTTCATTTTCTGTTTGGCCCTGATTTTCTTGAGGACTATCACAGGGCCCCAAGTCAGAGTAGCTATTTCACATTATTGTGGGCCAAGAACATTTTCCAGGTGCTAAATTTTGGGAAATCATAGTTAAAACAGCCAATAGTGTGGTTGATAAGAAATACATTAGAAAAATATTTAATTAGAGATAAATTAGGAAAATATAATTAGACAATTGAGGTTTAGGATTTCTACCCCATTTGACCCACATCTTCTCTGACAGTTCACTTCTCCAAGAAACAAAATCTTTACTTTAGAGTTAGCAAAAAAGAAGAGAGTACCTAATATATCTTTTTGCACATATTCGCTTGTGTTCCGCCACTCATTTTAGTTGTGTCTTCATTTTTTCTTTTCTACAAGAAGTTCTTATTATTGCATCCCACCCGAAGCCTAATTATTTTACATATGGTAATAAGTAATGTTAAGTATTAAGATAAGCTTTATCACTTTATCATTTTCTGTCCAGAAAAGGTTATTCTCAAACTATAGTTAAGGGAAGCTCTTAATAAATTAATCTACAGTAATTTTTCACTTTTAAAATTAAGGATGGTCACTATTTTAGTAATAAATGTGATGTAAGGATAATTTGTATTTGGGTAGAATGCAAAATGATCACTTCCCTACAAACCAGAAATCTAAGAAAACCTGGAATGTGAGGGGCAGTTGACTGCTGGACAGAGTTAAAAGGAAAAGAAAGCTATTATCAAATTGAAAGACAAGACAAGACAAAACAAGACAAACAAACAAACAAACAAACAAAAGATCTTGTTCTTCTCTACAGCCCTTCTACAATTTGATATAGAGAAGGGCTTTTGCTGATGAACAATTTATAATTTACATTTTGTATCTATATAACGATATTGCTAAATAAACTTTAATTTGCTAAATAAACTTTAAAAGAGCCTTGGTAGTACAGTGGTTTAAAGCACCCTGTTATTAACACAGCTGCCTGCAATTACTGCAGGTTCAAATCTTACCAGGCTCAAAGTTGACTCAGCCTTCCATCCTTTCTAAGGTAGGTTAAATGAGGACCCAGTTTGTGGGGGCAATAAGCTGACTTTGTATAAATATACAAAAGTATGAAGGCTATTGGTTAACGCATTGTAAGCCGCCCTGAGTCTCCGGAGAAGGGCGGCATATAAACAAATTTTTTTAAAAAAATTGTTCATAATCAATTGATCCTCCTATAAGGAAGACAATTTAATATCTGTCCCCAAAGTATTTCTTGTATCCAGATGTATCGTGTTGGCATATGTAATGAAATGTTCAAATATTTTCCAAAATAAATTCAGATAAAATATTTATTTTACCAAATTTATTTTGCCAAATAAATTAACTGCTGCAATACAATTGGGAAAATTATTATTTATTTATGTCTTTATTAAATATTTATATGGCTGCCCAACTCACATGCACCCAATTCTTCCAGCATTTTATAAATAAGAACAGGGGCATATCTGGAACAGTTCAATGTAGATTTTCCTTGGTTAAAGGAAAATGGGATGGAAAGTTGGAGTCCAGTAAAGGAAGAGCAATATCTTCTGAAGAAGCAATTCAGTTGACACTTCAATAATTTTTATAAGAAGGATTTCAAAGTGAGACCACATTTCTGTTCAGTCATATTGCTGATCAAGTCCATCTTCCAGGTACAAAATCTGTAGAATACACGTGTTAGCCAGTAGATTGTTTGATAAGAAATATAATGGAAAACCTTATATTTTATATAAACCTAAGATAAAGTAAGAATATCTAAATTTCCCAGATTATCAGTATTTTGGAATATCTCTCAATAGTTACAGTATAATACATATATCAAATATCCAGGTTACTAAGGCTAAGCTATCAGAGCCATTTTATGGAAATCCAGAATACACTTCTAGTAAGAAACAAAGTTCACTAGATCTGTTGAATTCAAATCTGGATGAGCCATGAGATTTATCGGCTGAGATCTTGATAGGGATGGCTATGTCATGTCTTTGGGGAATAGATGCAAGAAGCATTTCATCATGGAACAGTAGCTGTCGTTTTCTACTGTATATTGTGTGGTGTATGTGTGTGTGCGTGTGTGCGTGTGTGCGTGTGTGTATGTATGTATGTATATGTATGTATGCATTGACAATAGAGATGTACCTATTTTGTGTGTTTATTCTTTGGATAAAGTGAACCCTGAAAAAGTTAATGCTGTATGGGTGCAACAAATTTTTATAATTTTATAATTCTAGGAATTCTGGGCAGAGGAATTAAGTGAGGCTAATAGTTATTCAGTCAGGGTGGGATTAGGGCTAGTGTTGCAATAATAACCAGTAATAAGTGAATAGTCTTCCATTCTGCTTGACATGAAAGAAATATCTAAATTTGCCAGTATTGTATGTTTGCCTTAATTAGTGCAGTTCATCATTGCTATCCATCTAAGGATTTTCAGCCTTTCTATAAAAATGGTTTTTAAAATGCAGTAGCTAATAATGCCTGTTCTGTATCAACATTCTTATTTCAAGATCATTGGTATTAGAGATGATTGTTTTTCTATGTCAAAAATCTCCCAGTGTGTACACTTGGAAAGTCCCTTGACTGAGACCTGATTAGTTGGTTAAATAAATGGCTTCACTTGAATGTTAAAAATCTCACAATAATATTAACATTAGTTATATATTTGTACATCTAGTATGATACATAGCTTTTGCTACAGTACTGATCAAACAGAAAGCACTTTTGTGTGATGTACCATATTGTACTACAGAAGAAAAGGGCTAAGGTTATTAGGGAAACACAAATATTTGCACACTCTTTTAAGAGTATACTTTTCAAGTGAAGTATGTATTTTTCCCCCTCTTGAGTTATATTGCTTGTTTGGCTTCTGAGAGAGGGACTGTTGCTTGGTTCCTCCTTTAGAATGTTAGTTTGGTCTGGAATATCAGCAGACTGACAATAATTATTTATTCCTTCGAGAAAAGTGAAGGAATATTAGAAAGTTAAGTTTACATTCTTCCAAATCTATTCTTACATTCTCCCATTTATTTCATTAGTCAAATTTTTTTAATGAAATAAACCCAACCCATCAATTTGCAAAAATGGCCTACTAGAAGTTATTTACAGAGACAATCAAGAGTTCATATCCAAGAGATGGATACATTCCCAAATTCTACACTACCCAGCTTTGTGCAGCCTCTCACTGGGATCTCAGTAGATTGCCTGCTTTTTCTACCTGTTTTAGACAGCAAAAGTGAATTCTCAAGCATCTGAATTCTCTCTCACATAGTTGTTAGTCAGCACTTGAGCCTGGTGGGTCACACTGGAGAAATTCTGTCCTAATATGTAATTGCTTCTATTATGGCCTTGTTATGTATGTTCTGCTGTTGAGTGCCATGCTTGATTTTCTATTTGAAAATGTAACATAGTGTATTTTTAGCTTCCTTTATGTTCACAGAATTTTCAAGCTGCTGCTTCTGTTTTAAAATATACCCATATTTTTATGCATTTAGGAGAGAATTATAGAGCGATTAAAGGAGCAGAGGGAGAGAGATGACCGTGAAAGAATTGAAGAGATTGAATCCTTCAAAAAAGAAAACAAAGACCTGAAAGAAAAAGTTAATGCTTTACAAGCAGAGCTGACAGAAAAAGAGGTCAGTATTTACAACCAATAAAACATTTTATTGTAGGGATTCAAGTGTTATAAAGAATCAACCCTTTACAAGCAATGTAAATGTTATAAGTTGGTTATTAAGGCGATTTATCATACTTCAAACCAAGTAGTTTTGCAATCTTACAATTTTTACGCATCTGTTTATAAACAGTATCATAGGATATGGCAGAATCCAGCCAACATTGGCTATTCTAGCAAAAGCTAACAGTAAAATATGGAGAGGACATTGGTGGGAGACCATGGGGCCAAAGACTAGACTGTAATGTTGAAAAAAATAATCTGGAAGAAGAATTTGTTTTCTGTGCCAATGCTGAGAAAGCTGTATGGGTATGTCCTGCACAGGTATTTCCTGGTGACAGATTTGTCAAACTTAGATGAACAGAACAACCTTGCTATTTTATCTACTGGGTAAGATCTGGATGTATTCTTCCCTGAACACAATTAGTCTGGATTTAGCATGGATTCTACTAATTAGAAGTAGGAATGATTTTCACTTCTTTTCACTATCTTCTTTATGCTATTATTATATTTTTCAAAAAGCTCCCATACATGTGTAATCGATTTTATAGAGATTGCACAGCACTACGGAAGAAAGGGAGATAAAGCTTCAAGAGCTGTCTTAAAAGAGCCAACACAATCAATGACTGTATTCCATCATTTCTGCTCGTGGTTCTAGAAACCTGCATACAAATGCTGGTTAGCTTACTATAAGACTTTATACATGGGGCTGTTTCTGAAGATGTTCTAAAAGCTTTGATTAGGACAGAATTTGTTTAGATTATTAATTAGAACCTTGTCTTGCAATTAGTTGCAATTTATACTTTAGTTATATTTTATACTAGTATTTTGTAATATTGCTCTACTGGCTCTTGCAACATTTGCCAGTCTAAATCAAAAGGCTTCTTTTTTCCTTTGGACTATGGTATCTGAAAGATGACTTTTTTCTATTTAAGCCTTGATGTTATCAACAGAGACCAACTTCTAAAGATAGCAACTAGTGAAATATCTTGTCAGTGTTGTCTTTTTAGGATTGTAGAATCCTATCCTCAGAGATGAAGGAGGCAAAGTTTTTTTTTTTCTAAAAAACAGATTGAATTACATTTTGATTTCAAAATTTAGGATGAAGTTGCTGAGTGGACATGAAATATGCATTTTAACGCACACAACTTCCTTTTACATACCTATTTTTCCCTTCTCTCCACCATGGTGAAGGGAACCTTCACTCTTGTGCCTTAAATATATTTGGCGAGGGAATAATTGTTACCCTTCATGAAAAAAATTGTGATTCTAAGGAATCCTAGAATGACATAGCTAGGCATTTGGTTCCACTGCTGTTTCATGGCCTAGTTGACAGTTAATTAGTTAGGTAGCTCAGAATGGAGAAATGTGGACCAGGATCATACAGAGTAGTATCGAACAAGTCTACATGGTGGCTTTGATTATGGAACTGAAGCTCTATTTCTTTGGTTTGACTAATAAAAAACGAAAGAAGATTATCTATAAGTTCTGCCTCCATGTGAATACATTGTAAGTAGACTACTTGCTTTCAACCAATAGATTCTGAGATATTGGCACTACTAGTCATCAGAAAACTATATCTCTCACAGTCCAAATCTACTGTGAAAGGTTTACAAGCAATTGCAATCTGGTAATCTCCATTTTCAATTTGTCTCCCGTATCTTTTTTTCTAGTCTAGCTTAATTGACCTCAAAGAACATGCATCATCGTTGGCTTCAGCAGGGCTGAAAAGAGACTCCAAATTAAAGGCTTTAGAAATAGCCATAGAGCAAAAGAAGGAAGAGTGTAGTAAGCTAGAAGCACAACTGCAAAAGGTAAGCATGATGGAGTATTATTGATTCTTACTCTAGTTGCATGTTGGCATTTTTGTAGTGAAAAATGTTTCTGTTAGATTCTGTTAGTTTCAAGCTCAAAATATTAATGATTTGAAATGTTGACATGATGCTTTATCAATTTTTCCACTACAAAGTCTTTTTTGTTAGTTAAACTGTTTACATCTCATGTATTGTTATCAAAGGATTGTTATAAGCTTAAAGTAGAAGAACATTTTTTTTATTAGTAGTGCTTTAGATTTGTTCTTAAGGAAAAAAACTATTGTATATAATTGAATATTGGATGTTGTCTAGCTAGCACATCTAATCACATTTGAACTAATAATTATCAAAATAATTTTTACTATATTTTAATAATGTATTAAATCACATTAATACATTTACTATCATACCTTATTTATCCATATGTCAGTTATTATTATATGTAGTCTTTGTTGAAAGACAAACTCATGGCATATTTCTTGATTTAAGTATCATGTTTGCCTTTCAAAATTTGTAAATAGCCATGTTGCCAATGACTTAATGAAGGTACAATGCTTTAACTGAAGAGAGAGAATTTAATGTTTAAATTTGACTGTTTTCTGGCTTTCATGATACCTTGGAAAGAAATATATAATGTGAGTAATAATTAAAAACAAAGATACTGTTTAAGATTTTATGCACATGGTACATGGTATCTGGGTAATCTTGTCTTAACCTACAAAATAAAAGAATATACTACTTATACCACAGTTGATGCTTTGCAGTTCAAGATAGCATACTAAAAAACAAAATATAGCAATACACCTAATCACTGTCAGCCAATTAAACTTTGATATGAAGTAATCTGGTAGTCTCAATATAGCACAAAATATATCTGGTGCACCACTATAGATTTGATATCCATAGCATTTGGATATATATGGACCATGTACACTATACATAAATTATGTGTAGCAGTTATTCTTTCTTGCAAATTTGTATGTTACTGTGGTCACACAAGGCTTTCAAAACCCTTCTTGCTAGATTACGTCATGCTAATTCTGGGAAACTAAATATGATTTTAAAGTGTTAGACAGTCCACTTCAAATTAATATCAATTCTTGTATAATTTTATTTATTTTTATTTAAACCAGTGTTGCCTGCAACTCAGGTCCCAACTATGGCTTTGGAAATAAACCAGGAATTTGTGAAATTAGCAATCAAACTATTGACAATTGATATAGTTAGTGGGGAATGTGAGTAGGTTGGCCTTTTTCCATGGAAGCCCTGTTCATACTTGGTTACAGCTGACCACTTGTTGACCATTAATGGACCAGAATATTAAATTATCAAGCCTTTTTGCCTCATTCAACTTTTGTAACATTTTGATTGATTTAGTTTACAGCAGCAGCATTTCTCTGCAGAACTTTAACCTAGAGACAGATCTGGGGTTTGTTTTGTTTTTTGAAATGGTTTTTTCAGATTTTTTTCTGAATGAAAAGAAAAGGCTTAATAAAAGCAAGAATTCCCCCCTCCATTTCATCATGTTATTGATATCTTAAAAGCTAATATCTACATTGTTTGAAGGAAAACATAGGTTGTGAATAATAATGATCAACAATGATAATTTCTGATTTATATTTTATTTGGTTACATTAAATTCAAGCAATCATTTAGTAGAAAATGGTCACTGGAAATCTTGAAATGCAGGCATTTCAGTTTTAAGAAAATCACTGATTTGGGCATTTGGTTTCTGATGATAATGTCAACAGTCAAAATGGTTTAATTCCTAACATATGTCCCTTTTAAAAAATTCCTTTAGAGCAGTGAAAACTGATGGATCTAGAAATTAATGGTATGAGGAAACTAAATTGTTGCTTATCTGTTATAAAAGGAAAAATGATCATGATTATAAGAAATAAAACATGAAACTCTTTCTGGGGTTAGTTTAAAGAGAAGAAATGTATTTCGCACTCCCCCCCATTCTCCCTCACTCCCCCCTCCCCCCGCCAGCCCTGCTAGTTCCATATTTTTATTTTGGGAAGCCAGGAATAGATCAAATGGAACCTGCATTAATCTTAGGAGAACATTATGAAAGTAAGACCCATCAAATTCTGAGGCTTCATCTTTCCTGTTTGAAGCATGGGTGGATCTGAAAGTTGAAGTGGGAATCCTGAAGAATGTTTCTAATGCAAAGTTAGTTACTGGAAAAGGAAATTTGGGTGACAGAGCTGTCTGGAATCACACAATTAAAGCCTTACCTGTAACATGCACAAAAAGGGACGTGACATTCATGGCTTCTATCTTGACCTTTTTGACCCCTCCTGTGGATCCCTGCACTGGGCTGTGGTACCATACCTGTGAAAGCACTGTTGATACATGCATAGGAGGTTATGAAAAAAAAAAAAACTTGTTGATGTTTATTTCAGAAGATGTCTCTGTTTCCAATGTTATATCACTGCCTTTATATTTATCAGCTATAATTTTCCATCACTTCTTAGATGTGGCCACTACTATTACCATACTAATTAAGCCATACACTATTCTATTTTCAAATAAAATGGAAATTAAATTTTATCTTAATATGAAAAGAAAGTGCCACATTTAACAACAAAATCTAATTAATCTTTCTTATTTCCATCTTTGAACCTTTGATGATAAATTGCAGCCTTGGCCAAAAACACTTCTAATGATTCATTGCTAGAAACCAGCACTTAATGTATCATCAGCAGTGGACAGCTTTCTGTATTTCATGGATTATTTCATTTGAGAAAGGGAAAGTAACACAACCCTTGGATTTTATACTCTAGCCATTCTTTTCTATGAGCCAAAATCAACATTTATTTTTCCCTAGAGCTTCTCATATCCAGTAAGGAATGCTTAGAAACTTAAAATTTCTTCTTCTTTTTTAAATTCCAAGTTCTTCTGTGCAAATATGCCAGTTTTGCTAAGCTAATACTGTTTTCCTGGATCTTTCCTTCTTTTCCTGTCTGTGCTTCATTCTTCCCACCTTTGCAATGTAGCAAGCTGAACAATTGTTCAATCAGATGTACAATCCCGTAAGTCCTTTCAGAAAGTCTCCACTGTAACATATGAAAGCATGAGGATCTATTTTACCCATCATGATGTTCTATTCTTCCTCTGTAGCGCTTTGCAGAACCTATGATGGCTTCATTTGCATTGTGTTAAATTAAGTGGGCTCTGTGGACTTTAAGGCCAATGTTCTTTTTAAAATGGTATTCATTAAAAATTGGACAAATAAACCTTGCATTCAAATTTTGCATTGCCTTCAGGTCCTCAACTGCTTAATTGTAAGAAAGCATGAAAATATCAAGCTTTAATTGTTATTTTACTGCTATGCTTATGGCATACTTTATTAGATCCTTCAAATTAAATGTAAGCTTTGGAAAGTTATTCACCGTTTCGCAAAAATATTAATAAATGCTGTTATCCTGGAACAAGTGATATTGTATAACATGCATTGGTTAGTAGATAGTTGAGTTTTAAGTATAAAGAAAATCAATGTCCAGCATTGGTAATATAATTCAATTCAATCATTTGACCATAGTTACAGATCCATGGCAAAGTCTGTAATTACAAAGGTATTTAAAAAATGGGTTACAAATACAATATAATAATAAACAGGCAGGTGTATACAATCAAATGGTATTGGTAATTCAAGACATCACTTAGGCCATTATCTGATGCTTATACTTTGTAGGAGGAAAAGTCTTGTTAGTTTATGGTAGCCCCAAATCAGGAGGAGTCTGATAGCAACTTTTTTGGCTACAAAAAATGATTAAAAGGCAAACTGATGCCTTTTAATAAAATCTGTTAGTTAAAAAACTTGCTACCAGATTTCTCCCATGTTTATGGCAGAAGACAGAAACGTATTGTTTCTCTAATAACTTGGCTTTTATTTGCATTAAATACCTTTGCTTGCATCTACCAAAGCATTTTGCCAGAATAGGGTTGTGAAATGTACATGTGCATCTCTATAAAAATTACACAAGAAAAGCGATAATGATTGGATCCACATGAGCAGGTGTGCTTTTCATATGGTCTCCCTCTGAAAGAGCTCTCATTACTGCAGGTGGCACAATGTTTCTTCAGAACCTTGCAATCTTTTGGCACTCTTTTAAAACACAAGGGTAAGCATGCCAGCAAGAATTTTGCTGAAGTGTACACAGCTGAGAGGATGAATTAACCAGTGGCTATTTCAACCAAAGAAATGCCATCATGTTTCCTTTTAAGCACTTAGGTTTTACATTTATGTATTCAGCAGCTTAAAAAAAAAAACTACCGATGAATTGTCTGGCTTCTTAAAGCCTTATTAATGTTATTGTGATAGATGTTGGGAGGGTCTATGATAGTTGGCCATGGCCAACTTGCCATGGCCAACTTGTCACAGCCAACTTGCTGTGGGACAATTCATCACAACCAGTTAGTTGCAGGACAACTTGCCACAGGACAAGAGTTACACTAATATCACTAATATCAAAGAAATAGTGGGATAGAATCATTAAAGAAAGGATGCAAAGGGAGAGACAAAATAAAATGTGAATGGCAAAAATAAAAACCATTATTTATTTTAAATAATTAAAAAGCATTGTTAAATTGTCCCACAGCAAGTTGTCACATGGTGAGTTGTCCATGGCCATGGTGAGTTGTCCTATAGCAATTTGGCTGTGGCAATCTGTCCCATTCCAATGTTTGGGAAGTACCCAGCCTGGCAGGGAGGCGGGATCAAGCACAGAGCTAATTTGGAGTCACTGCACAACCACAAAAGGCTAGGGCCAACCCCCTCTAAATTTCTTGGAAACTTATCTAACTATTCCCAGAAATGGGCTGTCAGATTGGGGAGATTCTTGAATTATAAGCAGTACATAATAACGTAGTTAGCTTGAACTCTGCGTGTGTGGGTCTAGTTATTTGTGCCTAACACATTGCATAGAGCAGGCTTCAATGATTGGGTGAGAGGAGAGCATACGTCATAAATCAATCAGCATTCCAAATCTGAAAATCATTTTTGAGGAAAAAGTGTGTTTATGTTATATATATTCATGAAAGCTATTTTCCTATATGCATCAATAGAGTTATATTAATGATAGAACTTCATGTTATCCTATATTATAATTTTAATAATTTTTATAATTTTTTATAAAATTATGTTTATTAAAGTTTTGTAATTCGAGTCTGAAGGTAGGACATGTCTCTAAGCAAGCTATGTATAATATACAGAAGTATTATACTCCCTCTTAACACAGAACTGTTGTAATAAAAACACTGAGTGAATAAATAAGAGGTTTTTGCAAACATTCCCTTATTCAGATCTACCCTGTAATTATATTAAGTATTGGGTAGCATTAAATTCATATAAAACCTGGAATTATTCTTATTATTCTCTGCTAATTGAGTGCGTCAGCTGTTTTAGTCACTTCAAGTGTTCCAGGCTTAAGCTGGAGATAAATTATCAATGAAGTATAATTTCTTTTTCAACAGAAAGCAGATTTCTAGCAAGATAAACTTTGATGGATGGCAAATGGGTGTGGTTGCCCCCAAAAGATAGAAATTAGGTCATTTTTCATCTAAGACTACTATGAACTGGGATGTTTGTAAACTACAGAGTAAAGAGGGCTTAAAAGTACTCATCTCAAGCATTCTAAGGCCCATTTCATTTAAATGAGATTTCCATCATCTTATCTAAAATATGAAATCTATCTGGAGCCACTATGAAAGTGAAAAAGATGTATTATATACATGACCCCAGTATAGAGAGGTATGTTATATGGCCTATAGAAAGGCATTCAGCACGGTTCAGTCTGCCTACTGTTTCCGACAGAGAATCTTAGTGTGATTCAGGGCATAAATACATAAATATCCCCTTAAGAATCTGAAAGATAGTGTGAACTGCATGCAAGATTCCCTGTAGAGATCCTGTGAATAGTGGGTGATGGAAAGAGGCTGACATAAGAGTTACTCCTAGTAGAGCTTATATTTTGGAAACTGTTCACAGTTCCTCACCCTCCCCCCCTTTTTTTGCTTTAAATCCTTCCAAAAATACTACACTGATTTAAATTCAATTATACTGGCTTAGTATCACAATGAAACAGGGTCAATGTGACATAGACATGAAGGAGCCCATCCTGGCTGAGAGGCTGCATGACACTATTTGATTTTCTGAGTGTAAAACCAGAACTTGACATTTTTCACTAGAAGTTCTATGGCTAGAATAAAACATAGTTTGGCTCAGGAAGCTGCCATAGCAAAAGGTGAGCAATGAGATAACTAATCTAATATATTGTTTTTAGACAAGTTCTTACTCGGGATATTCTCCTTAACCTACTTAACAAATTGCAACTCATCAAATTTCTACAAGTGATTACAATATACTGTTTTGAAATGATATAATCCAGGAGGTCATCAAGCCCAACATCCTACATCAATGCAAAATAATTTTACTTAAAATGGAGATTTTTTTTCAGAGCATTATGCTGTCTTTCCAATAATTTCCTAACCAGTGATTTGAAACATCAGTTCTACACTGAGATTCTGTTAACTATTCTCTAAACCTTGTACATGAACTGTTGCAATGTGGTTTATAGGGAGAAAGGCGGCATATAAATCGCAATAAATAAATAAATAAATAAATATAGGGGATTGTCTCCAATATTACTGAGAAATTGCTCTTGGCCCAGAATGTAGTACTGTGAACAGTTATGGGCAGGTTTCATAATAACCATATAACAGGGGTGTCAAACTCAAGGCCGGGGGGCAGGATCCGACCCACGGGGTGCTTAGATCTGGCCCGCAGGGACGCTCTGGAAACAGCAAAGGACTGGCCCGTGGTGCCTCTGCCAGCGAAAATAGAGTTCGCATGCGAACTCCTGAGCTCCATTTTTGCTGGCAGAGGTTGCAGGATGCCATCGGAGCTCGGGAGCCCATTTTTGCTGTCAGAGTGCTCGGGCCACTACAGGCACCCCTGACACGAGTGACATTGAGCTGGACACACTCCCCCAAGGTCAAACACAACCCTGATGTGGCCCTCAGTGAAATTGTTCTGCCCCAGCTCCGGATTTCCGAGGATATTGACACACACCAATGGTCCTTATCAAATTTATTAAGTAGCAAGAATAAACAAGACCGGCAAAGGTTGGCAACCAGCCCAGAAAACAAGATACGATAAACCAAAATACTCTGATAATAAATACGAGTTGTTTCCAGCAAGAAAGCACTAGCTGCGTGCGACTTAAATAGGCTAAGGGAGTGGCCAATTATCCTCAAACCCTACTCTCGAGTAGACCTCCTCCTTCTGAGTAGCCACTCCTGCCTTTTGGCAGCCCTGTGTGTTCGAGCATTAAGGAGAAGCTCCTCCACTTCGCTCTCTCCACTTGAAGGAACCTCTGGAGGTTCTGAAGGCCCTGGCTGAGTCTCTTTCTCTGGCACCACATCCTCTTCAGCACATCCTCTTTCTGTCCAACGCAAGGGCCGGCTGCGCAAGCTGCTGGCGCGACACCACACCAGCCTCCTTTTCATCGGGATCAGCCACAATCCGCGCAGGCCACTGGCGGGCCACAACAGAAATTGAGTTTGACACCCCTGCCATATAATATCTCTGATCTACAAGTTGCACTGCTTAACAGCATGGATTGTTATTCTTAATAATAACAGCAGACTTCTTTATGGAATTGAAGTTGCTGGTTATAAAGCCTACATAGCATCATGCCTAGATGTCTGAGGAACTCTGTGTCTCCCATGGTTTCTGCCCATCCTGTATGATCAGGCAGAATTTTCCAGTTCCCATCAATTAAACAATATCCTCTAGTAAGACTCACAAAGCATGTCTTCTCTAGCATAGCATCTGCCCTCTGGAACAACATTCTCTCAGAGATTTCAATTGTGAGTGGCCCAGAGTTGATTGCAGTTGGACAGTGTCTTTAAGTTGAATAAATACAATAAGTTAGACTGCTCCTCTGCACTTTAAATGAGCCTTAAAAAAACTGCATCTTCCCTCAGGCCTTGGGCTAGTTATTAGGCCCCTTTGGATTGTGTGTTGTAT